TCATCTCTCTTGATTCCACCCTCCTCCCCCTTGGATCCTCATATTCATTCTACAATTATGGTTTTATACAGCATTTGTCCTTATGGGACTGAATTAGTTCACTCAGTATAATGCTGTATCAAGGGTTTTTTTTTTAACTTATCCTTTTTATTAATTGAGATTTTAATGAAAGCTTATAGAGAACTTGGATTTCCATTCATTCATTGTTGCACATTTTCCTCCCTGACTACCAAAGTATGCTTTTCTCTTTGAAAAAAAAAATTGCACTGTTGTACAACCACAGACCCCCACCCCAGTACACTTTACTATGTTGCTCTTACTCTGGATTGTTGTCATGTAAATACCTAATCATATATTCCTTGTAAGCAGTTCTTTCTCTCATCTGTTTCAATACAGTGTACATTATTTATCCCCTCTATTCTTAGTTTCGGCAAACCCAGATGTCAGTCCTGTTTTATAAGAGTGGCATTATGCAGTATTTGTCCGTTTGTGACTGAGATATTTCACTCAGCATAATGTCTTCTAGGGCCACCCATTTTGTATAATATTTCATGAGTTCCTTGTTTTTCAGTGCTGCATAGTATTCCATTTTGTGACTATTCAACAGGTTCTCTATCCTTTCATTTGTTGATGGGCACTTGGGTTGTTTCTATCTCTGCTATTGTGAACAAAGCAGCAATAAACATGAGTGTGCATATATCTGTTTGAGTGACAGTTCTGGTTTATTCTGGGTATATTCCCAGTAGTGGAATGGCTGGGTTGAATGGTATTTTTATTTCAAACTTTTTGAGAAAGCGCCATACTGCCTTCCAGAGTGGTTGCACCATTTTACATTCCTGCCAACAGTGAATAAGGGTTCCAGTTTCTCTACAACCTCGCCAGCATTTGTTGTTTGCTGCTCTGTTGAATTTTGCTATTGTTACTGTGGTGAGATGATATCACATAGTTGTTTTGATTTGCATCTCTTTTAGAGCAAGGGATTTTGAACATTTCTTCATGTGTGTGTTCGCCATCTGACTGTCTTCTTTGGTGAAGTGTCTGTTCATGTCCTGTGCCCATTTTGTGATTGGGTTGTTTGCCTTTATCTTGTTGTGATGCTGTATCAGGTTTTAAAAGAGATTTTTTCAGACATAAGTGAAAGCCATTTAATAGTTAGGAAGAGTGGAAAGAATACAGGACTAGGTATCCTGAAGACCATAAACTTATCTGACCTTCAGCAAAAGTTCATTAGTATTTATTTCTTTCATCAAACTGTTGTCTGTATCCAGTAAGTAGTGTCTAGGTTGTTCTAGGTACTGAATATAAAAAGAACAAAAGGATATTCCTCACTTTCTCTAAGCAAATAATCTAAAGGAGGTACTAAACAATTACAAATAAAAATGCTATGATGAGGTAGGTTATAGTGGAAATGTAGAACAAGGATGCTCAAAAACACCTAATGACTGGGATGCAAGGATGACTTTTCATAAGAGGTGCTGCTGTCTGCAATTTTCTTCTAGTCTCTTTCTAGCTCACTGTTTGATGTCCCACAGGACTTTCTATACTTTAATAACTTGGGGATTTTTCCTTTATTGACATGTTCTAACTCACCCGAGTCTCAGTGAATGCCTACTGAAAGCAGACTTTCTGAATGTCTATTTATTCTGTCATTTGGCTCATTTCCCCCGCCCTTATTGTCACTAAACAGTTTTGAAATTATTCTCACTTTGGATTGGTTTAACTATATGTTAAAACAACTTCATGACATGGGAATAGGAGCTTCAAGAGGGCAAAGGTTATTTAATCTCACTGTTGCATGACAGAAACCTAAAACATGGTGCATAATCTATCTGTTGAATAAATGAAGTTGTCTTGACTCCACCACAGGATATTTAGAGAGTCACAAAACAACAGTGGCAATACTTCACACACTATGTGCTATATTTACAAACTAAAAAAAAAAATCCCTTCCTATCTATTATCTCACTAGAGTCTCTTGCAGATCTTATGAAAGAAGGTTGATGTGTCTGAGAAAACAAGTGTTCATGTAGATTGAGTGACTTCTTCAAAATAAAAAAGTAAAGGTATGCTACACAAATTAAAAAAAGGGTGACCCAGCTGAGTGTGGAAACTACAGAACAATATCATTGATTTCACATGCAAGCAAGATTCTACTGAAGATTATCCAAAGACGACTGGAACAGTACATCCGCAGAGAACTTCCAGAAGTCCAGGCTAGGTTTAGAAGGGGTCATGGTACTAGGGATATTGTAGCTGATGTTAGATGGATCTTAGCTGAAAGCAGGGAATACCAGAAGAATGTCTATCTGTGTT